TTAATAAGCAAATTTATATCAGACTTGAATTGGCAGTTGGAGGCCATAAAAAATCAGTTCAGCGGGCCACAAATAGCCCCTAGCCCGCACTTTGGATACCACTGGCAAGCTGCATATCAGTATCTAATTTGGCACGTGAGAAAAGGATCTGATTTATCTCTGCTCTTGGATGGAGTGAGGTGTCAAAGCGTTTGTCATCATGGGTAACCAATAGCTCTGATGAGCGCTCCGTCTCCAGCCTCTACATGCCTCAGAGGGCATTAAAACTGATAACTAGGAGCATAAAGCAGCGCTGGGACCATAAAAACCACATCCGTATCCGAACGGTAGAGCAAAGTCTCGTAAACAGCTTCTTATTAACGGCCTCCGCTTTAAGACATCCATGTTCTGTTTGCATGGGAATCAGCCACAAAGGTTTCTGTGTAGTTTGTGTCCCATTTGAAACACTGGCATGCTGTTCATGCTGTATTACAGACACACACACCACCCCTCTCTCTAATGCTCCGGTTGTGTGTTTATCCTGGATAAGGTCGTGTGTTATCCTTACACATTTTGAGGTCGGCCTTTAACAGCAAGTCTGAAGGTGAGAGGGAGGCCTCTGTCTAAACAAAACGTGTTTTACCTTCAGGTTGCTAAAAAAAAAAAAAAAGGAGGGTGGGCGGGCAGAGTTTGGCTGTGCTCTCAATCACATTCTGTGATACAAGTTTTTAATTGTGAAAATTTACTGCTGTATTTTTTTGCATGTGGGTGCTGTTTTCTTCCTTTCACTTCTGTGTGAATATGCATGTGTGTCTGTGTGTGTGTGTGTGTGTGTGTGTGTGTGTGTGTGTGTGTGTGTGTGTGGCTTGGGCCTTAAAAAGGTCCGCATTCATCCAGGGAGGCCCCAGCGGTGGCTAGAAGCTCGCCAGGTGTAGAACAGAGCGTCTGTTGTGTGACTGATCTGAAGTTGCGTCAGCTTCTTCCAGAGAGATGGCAGGGGGAAAAAAGAAACGCTTCAGTTGAACTCCTGATTTGTCAGCAATGTTCAAATCTGTCCAGATCCTGGATCATGAAGATATGATGAGTCAATAGGGATTAAACTGACTGTCAGTGATATAAATTAGCTAAAAGCCTCAAACAAAAATAGCACTGTTTGTCTTTTAAGTCTTTTCGAGGAAAGAAAGTGTTTAGAGTCTCTTCATCTGCCAATAAAAACTTTAAAAACCACTGGGTTGTGTCACTAACCTGTTTCTGGGTCAAATCCAATTTGGGGGGGCGCGGAAAGCCGTCTGGATAAAAAAAACCCAAAACATGAGCACTGTATGTGCTGGGTTTTTACCTTAGAGTGGCCAACTCTCTGTTATTCCCATGTCAATTTGATACAGTAGAGGCTTCCACACTTCCCATATTTGTGTCCTCTGTCACTTTTATCAACAGTTAAAACTGTTTAATCCGTTGTTAACATGTTGTAACCTGTTTTTCCGAGCCGCCAGGAGACCTGCTGCAGCTGGGCGGAGCTACGTAGGTTTGTGTTAGAATCACGGCAGCAATTCAGCAAAACGCAAAGAACTTTTCACAGTTTTTCCCTCCAAACTAACCGACTGAGTTGAGTAAAGCTGTTGGATGCAGGTAATTTAGCTAAAGATGACTAGCTAATATCAATACAGAACCTTAAGCTTAACAAGTACCTTGTAGGCTACCAATGTTGGTGTCTATTTTCAGCTACGTGCATTCATTTTGCCCCCAAAAAAGTCGATTCCCCCCCGCCTCACACGCGTCGTTTCAACCAGACAGCCATTTGTAATCCATAGGGAGGGCGCAGAAAATGTTTGGAAACCACTGGGGGGCGCAGAAGAAAAAGTTTGGGAACCACTGTGTTATAGTAACCTTGAGTAAAAATGCTAAAATCTGAGTTAAACCATCACAGTGCACAAAAAGCTTATTTTTAAACATCCTCATTGTAGCTTTAAAGGCTTGGTATCAAAAGAAAAGAGTGTTACTTGTAACTGATTAGATTAACTGCACAATTTCTGTTTGTTTTTATTGTTGCTTCCAAAGCTGTTTTCATCATTTCAAATAATTCTAAACTTGATCTATTTTTCCATCAGGTTTGTTGTGACTACTTGTGTTATCAGTGAGTGAAATCTAACTAAATCCAAGCATTTGCTTGGAGAAGCCACTACGGAAAGGTTGTTTTCAGACAGATGACTTGGATTAAAGCAACAACATGGCAATCAGGGTAATTGCATCATCAGCTTTTCTGTAAATAAGATGCTAAAAATATCACACCAGGGCAGGGTTCTGTAATTAAATGTTTGTGTAACCTGGTTGTAATTCTCTTTTGTTATAATTACACAAAATGTCTTTTTTTGATTATTTGTCTTGTTCCTTATCTTACTGAAACACCTCTGTCATTGTTTTAACCGTGTTACTTTAAGATTGAAGCCCCTCCCTTTTATTTCTTCTTCTGTGGTATTGTCTTTAAATTGTTTGCGCCCCTTAGCCCCTCCCCTTTTGTCATGTCCTGCGGGAGAGGTGTGTGCGTTTTATTTTTCCATCTAAATACATTCAGTTTATCTATAGATCTATTAAGTTAATTTTTGTTATATACTTTTGTTTTGTGTAGGACTTGGAGCGGGCAGCCTTTAACACGGTTGTTTTGTCTGTATTCTCGTCAGAAATAAACCGAGAATCATCTTTTAAAAGATAAACTGCGTCACGGCCTGTTCACTCAATAACCAGCACAACACAGAAATGGATCCGGTTACATTTGCTCCAATTAGTTTTTCTCATCTAAAGAATATATGTTTTGACTACAAAACTTAGAATACTCTTGAAGTCCATCTTTCCTCTGAACTCTACTTTTAGAGTTGCTGATTATCTTTGCTAGCTTAGCGTTCTTTACTTTGTCTTTTATGGTACCATACGGAGTGAAAATATGTCGTATGAAGTTTTATAGTTTCAAAATCTTCACAAATAGATTGTGTTTTTAGAAACCCAAACCAGTTTTCATTTTTTTACTAGTTTGCAGAGTAAAACAATACCAAAACTGCACCCTCGCTCTTTATATATATATACCGGCAAAGATAGCTAATACAAAACTTTTTTTCAGAACTATGCTGCAATAGCACCTGTTTGTTTTTTTTTGTTTTTTTGTTTTGTTTTTCAAAGCCAATGCGTAACATCTTTTTTTTTTTTTTTTTTTTTCAAAATGTAGTTAAATTCTTCCCAAATTTTGTACTTGGACTTTATTAAATTGCTACACACAATTAAAACCAATTGATATGCATTTTTAAGAGAGATGGTATATCAATGCTAAAGCAGGGTATTATAGGCCTGACGGCCCACCATGCTTTAGTAGCGCCACCGCCAGGCTAAGCTTTTCTTGTTTATGTTTTTATTAAAATAATAATGAAAAAAAAGTCGCTCTTACAGGGCCTCAGGGAAAACTTGTTTTTTATTATTAACTCTTTGGTGCAAAAAACTGATTGAAAAATCGATTTATTTACTGCATGTTTATGTCTGTTACGGCTAAGATGGAACGGCGCTGAAAGCAGCCCTTTAAACCATTCAGACTACGAACACAAAAGAGAGACAATCAAAGCTGTCAGATGACTTATTACCCCGCGATAATATCTCAGAAATAGTCCAAATAGTTTGGATGTATTTTTACTTCTTTCCTACTTACGTAAAGTTTCTGTTTATATCATGGGTTTGTTGTGCCTTTCTATACTAAAGAAAAAGATATAAAACGTCTGATATTTCACAACGAGATATTAACATTCATGGAAAAACCTTACATAACCTTGTATTAAAGCAGAAAGTACAGCAGCCACCGTAAGAAAGGCTTACAGTATTCAATTATGCCGCATGAACTGATCAGTAGATTATTGCGAGGGAACGCAAAACCTTTTGCAAGGGAACGCAAAAGTTTTGTGAGGGAACGCAAAAGTATTGCGAGGGAACGCAAAACCTTTTGCGAGGGACCGCAAAAGTTTTGCGAGGGAACGCAAAAGAAAAAAAATTCCCCATGTTCCCTGGAGGGCTCCGTACTGTTGCTTAGAGTGTTTCACTGGAGGAGCAGATTTATTCCTAAAAGATATGTTTATAGAAGACAGATTTATATTTTATGCATTTAAAGCCAGACGAATCACACCGCTTGTGCCTCTGCGCGTTGCCTCGCGTGCTGCAGGAGCTGGATGTCTTAAGTTAACCTCAGCGTGGATCGCGTGCACCTCCTTTCACTCAAACTGGACACAGGCTGACCTGTATGGATATTTACATCAACCCCCTGTGAGGAATTAAAATTCTTTCCAGAGTTTTCGATCAAGGTAGTAACTCCTGAACGGTAGGAGTTGAACGTGTTAGCTCTGGTTGCACAGCTCTATGTGAACCGCAGGAATAATTTGTAGTTGCGCTGTCAGAGGTGTGTTGAGCGAGTGGTGAGAATGATTTATATTTGTAGACAAAGAATTTTGGGTTACACTTTATTTGAAGGGGGGTGAATAAGACTGATATGACACTGTCATAAACACCCGTCATGAACATCAGTAAGCCTTCATGAATATTTATGACTGTTGTCATAAAGTGTCATTCGGTAAATTATGACACTTTTAATACAAAGTTGACATTATTCAAAATGTCGTTGTTATGACAACTTGACATTAACCAAGAAGTCATTACTGTTTAAACTTTACCTTTAATAACAAAACGTTACCTAATTTTTAAAGTGCAATCAGTAATACTTTTATAACAAATTTATATCAATGATATTAATGATTTCTTGGTTAATGTCAAGTTGTCATAACAAAGACATTTTGAATAATGTCAACTTTGTATTAAAAGTGTCATAATTTACCGAATGACGCTTTATGACAACAGTCATAAATATTCATGAAGGCTTATTCATGTTCATGACAGGTGTTATGTCATGTTTATGAAAGTGTCATGACAGTCTTATTCAACCCCCTTCAAATAAAGTGTTACCTAAGCTTTTTGGTCTTACCTGTGGTGTGGAGAGGTTGGAGTCTGAGTATGTGGATA